CCTTTTATGGGAAATGAGTTCACTGCTTGTACTGAATCTCTTTCCACACTCGATGCATTGATATGGTTTCATCCCTGTATGGATCCTTTCATGGGAAGTAAGGGAGTCGCTCCGGCTGAAACTCTTCCCACATTCCATGCACTTATATGGTTTCTCCCCTGTGTGGATCCTTTTATGAGAAGTAAGGTTACTGCTGCAACTGAAGCTTTTTCCACATACCATACATTGATATGGTTTCTGCCCCGTGTGGATCCTTTTATGGGAAATAAGATCACTCCTACTTCTAAAGCTCTTTCCACACTCTATGCATTTATATGGTTTCTCCCCTGTGTGGATCCTTTCATGGGAAGTAAGACCACATCTCATTGTAAAGCTCTTTCCACACGCCATGCATTTAAATGGTTTCTCCCCTGTGTGGATCCTTTTATGGGAAATGAGATGGCTGCTTGTACTGAATCTCTTTCCACACTCCGTGCATTGATATGGTTTCATCCCTGTATGGATCCTTTCATGGGAAGTAAGGGAAGTGCTCTGACTGAAACTCCTTCCACATTCCATGCACTTATATGGTTTCTCCCCTGTGTGGTTCCTTTTATGGGAAGTAAGGGAACCACTCGTGGTGTAGCTCTTTCCACAATCCATACATTTATATGGTTTCTCTCCTGTATGGAACCTTTTATGGAAAGTAAAGGAACTCATGTTTCTGAAACTCTTTGTGCACTCCATGCATTGATATGGTTTCTCCCCCGTGTGGATTCTTTGATGGGAAATAAGATTACTGCTCATTCTGAAGCTTTTTCCACACTCCATGCATTGATAAGGTTTCTCCCCTGAGTGGATCCTTTTATGGGAAGTAAGGTTACTGCTCTTACTGAAACTCTTTCCACATTCCATGCACTTATATGGTTTCTCCCCTGTGTGGATCCTCTTATGGGAAGTAAGGGAACCACTTGTGCTGAAGCTCTTTCCACACACTGTGCATTGATATGGTTTCTCCCCTGTGTGGATCCTTTGATGGGTCGTAAGCTGACTGCTATTAGTAAAGCTCTTTCCACACTCCATGCATTCATATGGCTTCTCCCCTGTGTGGACCCTTTTATGGGGGGTAAGTTGACTATTTTGAATAAAGCTCTTTCCGCACTCCATGCATTTATATGGTTTCCTTCCTGTGTGGGTCTCTTTATGCAAAGTAAGATCATTGCTTGTATAGAAACTCTTTCTGCATTCTGTGCATTTATATGACTTCTCCACTCTATGGATTCTTTTATGGGTATTAAAAGTACGGCTCTCATTAAAACTTTTCCTATACTCTGGACTTTTATATACTTTTTCTATCTCAATGCTTTGATGTAAATTAAGACAGAGATTCAAATCACTATTTTTTCCATATTCCTTGTAGTGAAGCGGCTTCTCTGTAGTGTGGGTTCTGCTATATTCATATTCACCTGATTTACTGCTCAACATTTTTCCACCCTCTAAACTGCTTCCTTTTTCTCTGTGAAGTTGGGTATGGAAGGTGTGGTTTTCTCCATACTGAAAAATAGAGAATTTCTCCATCCTATTGTTCAACTGGTTTTCCTCAGGCACCTTTGGCTCCCCGTGATTGTCCAATATCCCTTCTCCAGTTTCAGTTCTTTGCAAAGATTTCACACCTGGTTCTT